AAAAAAAAGAATACTATGTATGCCCCAGCAACTGAACACAAGTCTCGCAACAACCCTCTCCTTAAGCAAGTGACCAACAAAATCAGTTGCATGCTGTGATTTTTGTTGTTGTTGTTGTTGGTCATGGGGCCTGAACCCTGGGCCTGGGCACTGACCCTCAGCTCTTCAGCTCAAGGCGAGCTCTCTACTACCTGAGCCACAGCATCACTTCTAGTTTTCTGAGTGGTTTATTGGAGATAAGAGTCTCGGGACTTTCCTGCCCAGGCTGGCTTTGAACTGCAATCCTCAGATATCAGCCTCCTGAGTAGCTAGGATTACAAGGGCTGAGCCACTGGTGCCGGCTGCATGCTGTGATTTTGTAGAGGCTCACTCAAATCCTCCTGAAGGAATCCTGCAGGGCCTTCTTTTCATTGGATGCCATCTGCATAGCTTCTTCATGTGTTTTGTCATTGAGCATTCCATATGTGTGTGATTGGTTATACCTAACATACCTTGGTATTTTTTCAGAGACTGACCTAATTCAATGTAAATTAAAAAATTAGTACCAGTAAAGATACTTTTTAGCTGGGCGCCAGTGGCTCATACCTGTAATCCTAGCTACTCAGGAGGCTGAGATCTGAGGATCATGGTTCAAAGCCAGCCCCAATAAACCACTTGAAAACCGGAAGTGGTGCTGTGGCTCAAGCGGTAGAGTGCTTGCTTTGAGCTGAAGAGCTGAAGGACAGCATTTAGGCCCAGAGTTCAAGCCCCATGACCGAACAACAAAAAAAAAAAGATATTTTTAAAAATCTTTACCACAGAGTCCTGAGGATATGTAAGTATTCTATGTGACTTATGCACATTATACTATCCCCAGTGCTTTAAAGCATTTTTTTAATTAAAAATTTTTTAAAATTCATGTTAACTCTTTTCATCCACTAAACTTTCACTGCAAGTCAAATGACCTGTGTGCCTGAAGAGAGGAGAAATGGAGGATTATCATAAGACATAGATAGAAAACAAAGTCATACCAATTAGAAGATGTGTTGCAGGGTACCAGTGACTCATGGCTGTAATCTTTGTTACTGAGGAGGCTAAGATCTGAGGATTGGGCTTCAAAGCTTGCCTGGGCAAGAAAATCCATGAGATCCTTTTTTTTTTTTGGGGTCCGGTCGTGGGGCCTGAACTCTGGGCCTTCAGCTCAAGGATAGCGCTCTACCACTTGAGCCACAGCACCACTTCTGGCTTTTTTCTTTTTGTTTACATGTTGCTGAGGAACTGAACCCAGGGCCTCATGCACGCAAGGCAAGCGCTCTACCACTGAGCCACCTTCCTAGGCCCCTCCATGAAACTCTTATCTCTAATTAATCACCAGAAAACTGGAAGTGGCATTGTGGCTCAAAGTGGTAGAGCACTAGCCTCCAGTGAAAAAACTCAGGACAGTGCCGAAGCCCTGAGTTCAAGCCCCATGACCAACTAAATGAACAAACGAAAGAAAAAACAAACAAAAACTGTGTCTCCCAGTTGACATCTATGAGCTGGGGGTGTCAGCTACTTACCACACGGTAGTGATTGGGGGCCCACACGAGAAGGGTGTGGCGGTGGCCTGGCTCAAACTTATGCACTACTTCAGTGACAGGTGACCCAGTAGAAATGTTTATGCTTGTGACTTGGTCTGCTTCGAAAGTCCTAAATTCATTTGTCTATACATGGGGAAAAGAAGCACGGTTAATACCAGTCTTATTCATACTGTTACCATTGTAATGGTATGTTATTGCCATTCCAAGTTTTGTATTCAAATCTATCCCCACCAAAAATGCCTTGTGGGGAGATGGCGGTTATATGTCTTAGCCTCTACCTGCCCTCATGGACTCTGTCATACATTTGTTTTCATATTGACACAGGAATTCTACTTTTCATCAGACATTTTAATTTTATTTTGCTGTTTGAAAATAAATGCTGGAGCTAGGCGCCAGTGGCTCAGGCCTATAATCCTAGCTACTCAGGAGGCTGAGATCTGAGGATCACAGTTCAAAGCCAGCCAGGGCAGGAAAAGTCTGTGAGACTCTCTATCTCCAATACACTACTCAGAAAACTAGAAATGGTGCTGTGGCTCAAGTGGTAGAGCACTAGCCTTGAGCTGAAGAGCTGAGGGACAGAGTTCAAGCCCCACGACTGACAAAAAAAAAAAAAATGCTGGGACAGGCACTATAGATCAGGCCTATAACCTTAGCTACTTTGGAGGCTGAGATTGGCTGAATTGTGGTTTCAGGCCAGCCCAGGCAAAAGGATCCCCATCTCAATCAATAAACCAGGCATGTGGTATGTATCTGTGATCCCAGCTCATGGGAAGCAGTAGGTGACAATCTGATGAGAAGGTCCCCAGATGAAAAGCATTCAGATCATCTTTCACTTACTTGAGAGAATTGGCCCAGTGTCACTGTCTCTCCAGGGAAATATACATTCATGTTATCATTTCCTATATTCAAGACTTTAATTTGGACTTGATTAGCTCCGGGGAAGACTGGAAGAGTTTTCTGAAGGAAAGAAAAGACATTTGACAGTGAGGGTTTCAGTGTGACTCTGATGGTCACTGTCAACCTTGCATTAGAGTTGGTTTTCCTCCAGCCATCCACAGCTGAGCTGGCATAGACAGGCCCATTGCCCAGCATGGCTTCCGAGCTCATGTCATGTGACCACTGGAAAAAGTGTTCATACAGAGCATGGAATAATAGGGAACAGGCCACTCAGGGCCCTATCGAGCCACCTCGGGCCAGAGGAGACCAGGTTATGAAGCCCAGGATCAGAGCCACTGGAGGAACCGTGGCCTCCACGGATGTCGCTCTTGGTTGGGGACCTAAAGTCTGCTCTCCCTGCTTCTTGCTTCCCCCATCCTGGGAATGGAGCCCTGATCTTCCCCCATCCTGGGAATGGAGCCCTGATCTTCTTCCTCTCACAACTGTGTCACTTCCGGTGTCTCCACACTGGTGCTCAGAGCTTCCTGTCTTTATGCGGCACGTACAGACCCAGTGTTGCTGGAGGAGCCCAGGTGTGTTCCACAATTCATTTTCCACAAAGTGAAGTGTGCACAGGAGAGAGTGAACCAGCTGGGCTTTATCCACCAGACCAGGAGTGGTGGGGTAGGGGTAGGGATTCAGGTGTCCATCAACAGGTGAGTGGAAAAGCAAAAGGTGTCCACGTACAATGGAATATTTTTCAGTCCTCAAAAAGGAAGAAGCCAGGTCTGGTTGCTCATGCCTGTAATTCTAGCTACTCAGGAGACTGAGATCTGAGGATCAAGGGAAGGAAAGTCCCTGAGACTCTTATCTCGAATTCACTACCAAAAAGTCAGAAGTGGAGCTACGGGCCTGGCTTTGAGCACAAAAGCTCAGGGACAGCTCCCTTGGCCTCCTACTGCCCAAAGCTCCAGACCTCACACTGTGTGCAGGGCTGGGCCCTGGCCTCCTCTGATCCTCTCATTCTGACTGCTCCCCTTCAACCCACCAGTGAGGGACATGGGAGACTGGGGAAACTCACATCAATTTCCACCTGCACAATTGCAGCCACCACAAAGGCCATGGAAGCCAGGAACATCCCAACGGTCATCTTTTTTAGAGAGCTGATGGGGACAAGAAAGTGAACCTCAGCCCTCAGGCACACAAGTCCCAAAGCACGCCGCCTCTCCCTGTGTCCCCCCAGACAAACAAAACCAACCCAAGGACAAAGACCTGTGTGCCCCCAATCCTCTCTGTCCTTTGTAACTGTGAATGCAGGCAAGGAGGGCAATGGCATACAGCTTCTCATGTGTACCTTTACACCCAATTTCTAGAACCTTGACTAGGCAACCATTCAGCCATCCAACCATTCATTCAGGCTGCCCTTCATAGTTCATTTATTCACTTATTTATTGATGGCAGTCCTCAATTTGAATTGGGGACCTTGTGTTTGCTAAGCAAGCATTCTCCCACTTAGGTTTACCAGCCCAATGTGTTTATTTATTTATTAACTTATTTTTGTGCTAGTCCTGGGGCTTGAACTCAGGACCTGACATTGTCCTTAAGTTTTTACTCAAGGATAGAGCTCTACTACTTGAGTCATACCTTCACTTACTGCTTTTTGGTGATTAATTGGAGATAAGAGTCTCACAGACTTTCCTGTCCAGGCTGACTTTGAACCATAATCCTCAGATTTCAGTCTCCTAAGTACTAGGATTATAGGCATGAGACATCAGCATTTGGACTGCTTTTGAATTTTTTTACTTAATAAATTAATAATTAATAGTTTGACTTTTTTGTGCCAGTATTGGCACAGTATTGAACTTAGGGCCTTTTAATCTCACTTTTCTTTTTCCACTCAAGGCTGGTACTCTACCAACGGAGTCACATTTCTGAGCATTTTGTTGGTTAAATAGAGATAAGACTCTCTCAGGTTTGTCAGCCTGGGCTGGCTTCAGACTGCAATCCTCAGATCTCAGCCTCCTGTATAGCTTAGATTACAGGTGTGAGCCACTGGTGTGGACTCAAGCCCTTTTATTCTAAAGGATATTTTAAGAAACATCAGCCTGCAAACATCTCTTTAAATCAATTCTTTGGAAACCCCCACCTTCAAGGTGGGGTTGTGGGGGCTACAGCAGACCCAATACAGCCCCTTCCGTGCCATGGACCAACTGGGCCTCCACCACCCCACGCCAACCAGCACTTACGTGAAATTGAAGCCACACTTGGCAATGAGAGGGTACACTAGGGCATCCATGATGGGGACCATGATCACGATGAGGATGGCGTTCACAGTCTGTGGGCGGGGCAGAGAGAAGGGGTGAAGCTGGGCTCTGTGAGGAGATCTGGAAAGAGACTTCAATTCTTCCTCCTACCTGCATCTGATCCGGCTGGATTTCAATACTTCCCTGGAAGAGACGAGGGGGAAAATCTCACAAAAGAGAAGGAGAAAGTGGACAAAGGCATAAAATAAAGAAGCAGAGGCCAGAGGAGGTAAATAACAAGATACCCCACACTCACAATTCTCCCAGTCATAGTGGTTGCTTGCAGCGTCCACCTGGACCCCTTAAAAACAGACACATTTACCGCATTATTGGGGAGGATGGCTTTTAAAGTCTCCCAAACCACCGTGGGCTCTCTTCTAAATTAGGAGCGAGGGCTGAAGTGTTATGGGACTTAAAGTTGTTTTAGCAGGTGATGGGGCTCACGCCTGTAATCCTAGCTACACATAGGAGGTGGAGATCCGGGGATCTTGGTTTGAAACTAGCCTGGTCAGAAAAGTCCATAAGACTCTTATCTCCAATTAACCAGAAAAAAAAGAAGCAAGCTAAAAGCAGAGATAAGGCTCAACTGGTAGAGTGCTGGCCTTGAATGAAAAAGTCAAGCAAGAGTGCAGAGCTGTAAGTTCAAGCCCCAGTGCCAGCACTAATGAACTAATTAAATACATAAAGTTGTCTTCATTAAGTTGGCCGCCTGGTCCATTATAGTATTAGGCAGAAGGCAATAGGTTGCATTTCTGTTCTACCAGGAGACACAATATACAGAACTGGGCCCCTGTTGGGGGTGGGGCACAAAGTACTGGTCTGGGTGGAACTCCATATGATGCTGTTCATGAAGACACCCACCGTGTTGTCTAGGAGGACATCACAGAAGGGCAGGGATCTGCCCTCTTGCAGTTCTTACTGTATACCCATCGCTGAGCACTTTCTACACAATCCCTAATTTGATCCTCACAGCTTCAAGGTGATTATGACTTATTCAGATGGTCTTTCACCCCTGTCACCAGCTGCTTGACACTGAGTTTATTTCCAGTGCCAGCTTGATTCCAGCAGGCTCTTGTCCAACAGGAAGACCGTGACCTAGGTCTTCATAAAGCTAGTCATAATTTCATAGTTATAAGTAAGATTAATGTGCACACTCACATTTTCCCCAAGGGAAGTTCAGACCCTTGCAAGAATCCCCCGTGCACTAAACACACACAGTCACAACTTTTTTAAACTTCAGTTTCTAAAAGAGTAGCTTATGGCTTTTTCTACTCATCACCACACCTGGAGCTGTCAAACATCACTGCGCAAGGTTCTACTATGTCTCCTATAGCTGTGACAGAAAGAATGAAGCTCTTAGGGGGAAGGGCTATGATTTAGTCTAGAACTAAATCATCCCAGTTTAAAGTGGGAGATACAGAGCAGCTTGGTAGGGCTGTCCTATAATCCAACTACTTTGGAAATGGAGATTGGAAGGATTGCATTTGGAGTGCAGCCTGAGAGAAAAGGTGAGCCTGTCTAAAAAGATAACTGGAGC